GAGAGAGAGAGAGGAGGAGGAGGAGGAGGAGGAGGAGGAGGAGGAGGAGGGAGGAGGGAAGGAGGGAGGAGGAGGAGGGAGGAGGAGGAGGAGGAGGGAGGAGGAGGAGGAGGAGGGAGGAGGAGGGAGGGAGGGTGGGGAGGGTGGAGGGAGGAGGAGAAAGAGGAGGAGGAGCTATACCTGCAGGACCGCACTTACGATTGGGATTGTTGCCAGGCCATTCGTATCACCGTGGAAGGAGGCAAGAAGAAACCTGACCAACAAGTTAACTCCTGCTCCTGCTCCTGCTCCTGCTCCTGCTTCTCCAACTCATCTACCTCCTCCGCTTCTTGTTTCTCCAGGATTGGTTATAGTTATGGACACATCCTCCATTGCATCTCAGATGCTTTCCTCGTCATCTTCTTTCACCTTTTCTTTGCAGACGTTTGGATTGAAATCACGAGCAGGTCGCCTGGGGCAGCGCTCTTGTCTGGAAGGAGGACAAAAAATGTGACCCATGGGAGGGGAGGAGAAAAGGAGAGGGGAGGAGAGGAGAGGAGAGGGGAGGAGAGGAGAGGAGAGGAGAGGAGAGGAGAGGAGAGGAGAGGAGAGGAAGTATAATCCTCGCCTTTGTCATATTGAAGAACAGCCTCTGTGACTTCTATCCCCTTTTCCTTCTTAAACTCAAGTCAGTCATTTTCACTCCAAAGACAGCAGATCCGACAAGGAAAGATGATTTATCGACGAGAATAAGTGAGTTTCTTCACAGCATGTGAGTTCCATATGTGAAGCAAGAGGAACAACTTACTGGTCTCTCTTTCCCGTTGCTGATTTTGGGGAGAAGATGTGGTAACGTGTGCTGAATGCGGCATCTCTACAGACCACAAGTCAACAAACAGTGATCTTCTTCAAACTCGTCCAACCTGGTGATATTATGGTAGAATGCAGAGGATGTTTCCTGTTGCAAACAGTGAGATAATTCCAACGACAACAACACTCAGCCCTTACCTGCAAGAAGAGAATGTCTGCATCTCCGTAAACATTCTTAAGAATCGACATGATCTTCTTGTCCTTGTCTTTGTTCAGCGCCTTGCAAACAGTCCTCCTTATGGGCTGCCATGAGGACGCTGCTACTTGGTTGAGCATATGAACGAGGATCGAGTCGAAGATTGCAAGGCAGACGGTTTGTAGAGGGATACTGATCTCCTCCTCCTCTACCGTGATCTCAGGATACTTGCTGCGCATAATCCTCTGCAGCATCTCGAACGGAACCTGGAAATTGTCAGAAGGAGAGGTGTAAGGGGGAAGAGAGGGGGCAGGGATGATGATGATGATGAAAATGATGACGGAGATGATGAGGAGAAGGAATGGCTGAGCAGCGCATCCTACCTTCTTCATGCTCTGTCCATCTCTCTTTGGCAAGCTAAGCACATCCTTGAACATGAAGCTCTTCCACTTCTTCCACCATCCATTCATATCCGGTATCTCCTCCTCCATGCAGTTGATCACGGTCGGCCGCAGCGCTAGCCCGCCGCCATCAAGGTGGATAGAGTTGGTGACTCTGTCGGGCATGGAGGCGAGCCTCTTCTTGCCGATCTGCTTGTCCTTGATGAACCCGCTGATAATCTTCCTCCCCTTAAGATCTTCCTTCCACCTTGTCGTGACTTCAGCCAGCCCCTGTGCTCCTTTCGAAGTCATCTCCTGGATGAGCTCGTCGAACATACTCTCCGTGAAGACTTTCTCCACCTCAACGTCCTGCTCTCCTGGCTCGCTGATGAACTTCTGGACCCCCTCCATAAGGGACGCATACCCCGCGTCTTCGTGAGTAATCCAGTATTCGAACGGATTATTGTTGACCGCTGCAACGTTCCAAGTCAGAAGCTTCAGCTCCTTCTTGCATGCCTGAGCGCTGACGGGCGTCGAGCTCAGCATGGAGACGGCGATGAGCAGCATGCAGACCATGACGCCCACGGTCAGCGGCATCATCAGCATCTTTCCTCGCCATCCTCGCGCTGGCATGGTGCGCACTTTTCTCATTGAGGGTGACTTGCGACGCGAGTACCCCCTCCCCCTCACATTGATCATCCCATTTAAGTACCCCACATATTAATATGAAAAGTACCCCTCAAATGAGAGGTATCCCTCGTCTTTGGACCCCACTACCCCCCAATGACAGACCAGCTAGCCCTGCTGTGACTGTGCAGGAGCGATTTTGCAGTAAAATATTTATACTTTATATTTTATCAACAGAAAAATAATTGTAAGATCATTTTTATTGCGAAATTTTCTGCTGTGACCGAAGTTTATCTCCATCGCACATACCCTTCCTACAAAATCCGATATCGTTAGATCCGCACCATGCAGGAAGCCGACGAGATTGTTCGGAGCGAAGCCTTGAGGAGGAGGAGGAGGAGGAGGAAAGAGGAAGACGATGATGAGCATGAAGTTGAGGAGGAAGAGATGTGGCAGGAGCAGGAGCAGGAGCAGGAGCAGGAGCAGGAGCAGGAGCAGGAGCAGGAGCAGGAGCAGGAGCAGGAGCAGGAGGAAGAGGGGCAGGAGGGGCACCAGAAGGAGGTGAAGCAAGATATATCAGCATGGCGAAGATGGAGATTCACATGTGAAGTTCCTGAAGAAGAATCGAGCTCTTCTGAAGACTCCGGTGATGGCGGCAAACAGTCCTGGTAAACTTGCCTCACAACCTGTCGACAAAGCTTCCGCTGATTTCAAACAACCTTGTCTCCACCCAAGAAAACAATCTTTCCCACTTCCCTTTCTTGTTGAGTGTGATGTACAAGCATGCGTTGATCACCACATCCAGGGATCGGGATAACGAAGGTGACCTTGTTCCCGTTAGGAGGAAGAGGAGGAGGTTGGGATATCTTGATACACAACCGCGCATGCTAACATTGATGCTTCAAGAAAAACACGAGCAGATAAGTTTCACATTGATATAACCATGAAGACAAGATCTACTATCCGCGAATGCGGCGTTCAAATTTGGGGCGCTTCACTCTACCTCTCCGATTGGATTCTGAGCAAACTGTCTCAGTTTCAAGATGCAGTTGTGATGGAGTTGGGAGCTGGGGTTGGGCTACCTGGAGTTGTTGTTGCTCGTGTTTGCCGTCGTGTCTTCTTGACAGACTACGAAGACAAGTCGTTGAGGAACTGTTTGAGGAATGTCATGCTGAATGACAAGCGGGGAGTCTGTTCTGTCCGTAAGCTTGATTGGAGCGATGAGTTCCCAATCAAGAAGGATGAAGGTGATGAAGAGATGAAGATTTGAAAGAGATGATGGTGGAGATGATAATGGAGACGATGATGATGGTGATGATGATAATGGAGATGGTGATGATGACATTACAATGACATCATACTCTCCATGATAATTATCACAATGATGTCCGTGTTCCCAATGATTGTACGGTGGCAATAGTGATTACATTGAAATGTTTCGGGGTCCTGACATTTGCGAAGTCAAACAACAATCAGAGTTCGATTGGACGGAAAAAGAGCTGATGGAACTTAAAAGCTGCAATTACCTGCTGGCTGCTGATGTCATTTACTCCAACGAGCTGACAACCTCCTTCCTCAACAAGGTTTCATGTTTGCGATGCTACATTGTTGCACTCACATCAAGAGTTTTGCAGGTTGTGCAAATTCTGAGCATCTGCAGAGAAGACGCAAAATTGATAATGACGATCGAGAAAAGATACAACTTCACCCTCCCTGAACTTTGCACAACATGCAGAGAGTACGATTTCTTCTTTTCTCATGTTCAAGTGGAAGGTGCTGTCAACACATCCTCCAATGCCTATCCTTCTCACGCATTTTCTGCAGGAGACATTGAGGAATGTCAGCAAAGGGGAGCAGCAGCAGCAGCAGCAGAGGCAGCAGGGGCAGCAGGGGCAGCAGAGGCAGCAGCAGGGGCAGGGGCAGCAGGGGCAGGGGCAGAAGGAGGATGGAGAGCGACAGGGGAAATGACGGAGGGTGGGGGGGGGGAGGGGAGAGAAGAAACATGTATAGGCAGTGCTAAAACTTTTCTGTTGCGCGGGAAGAAGCTAGGGAGTGACTTCGAGAAGAGATTGAAAGAATACGATAGGTCTGATGAGATGGAATTATGGGAATTGATTCGAATCCCAACATGATTGTACATGTGATGAGAAAATCTCCGTTGCTGCAAGGTGACAGAAGAGGAATTGTAATTGTAAAGCTCATAAATCAGAAATCAGAAACCACTCGTAGCTCTGTGTATCTTGTTGAAAAAAGAGCAACAGCACATGTCATGACATGTATCTCCGCATGCTGCTCATCTTCTTGCTTTGATCCAACTTCATGTTTCTCCTCTTCCTCCTCCTCCCTCCAAACTTCTTGACGTCCCGGGCCGGGTACCGAACAGCAAAGTCTCTGTCGGTCAGCACGAGCATCGAAGAGATGGGAATCGGGTTACGATATAAGTTCCTGCGGGCGATTGAGAAGAGAAGGGATGCAAGGAGGAAGAAGAGGAGGGAGAAAGAGAAGAGGAAGGAAGAAGCAAGATGGAGAATTGGGAGGGAGGAGAGGAGGACGGAAAGGTACCTGATCAAATGTTCATGACGGACTTTCATTCTCTTATCGAGGCTGTAACCGAGGAACTGAGGGCTTTGAATGAAGATTGACGGAGATTGCTGATCAAAAATCATGTATGAGATCATCGCAGCGAGAACAGGAAGACAAAGAGGGGTTTAGGGTTTAGGGTTTAGGGTTTAGCGCCAAGAGGAGGAGCAGCGAGGAGGCGGAGGATTGAGGAAGTCGCACCCCC